GGAATCTGGTTTGTTCTCTCCCACAGTACGTTGTTGCTGATGGTGTCTGGCCAACGAATCCGAAGTATTTTGCGAAGACAACTGTTAATAAACACTTGTATCTTCTGGATGATGGCTTTCGTAGTTCTTCACGTTTCCACTCCATACAGTAGAACTGTCTTGACATTGGTATTGAAAATCCTGATTTTGGTTTAGGTTGAAAGTTGTTTGGAGTTCCAGATATTTTTCAACTGTAGAAATGCATCCCTTGCTTGGCCAGTCCGCGCCCTCACATCTGCATCGGATCCACCTTGGTTGTCGATGATGTTGCCAAGATATGTAAAGGTGTTAACGTCCTCCAAGGCGTGTCCATCAAGATTGATTTGGTTGGTGCATGTTGTGTTGCATCGGAGAATTTCGCTTATTCTTTTATGTATGTTGAGACCTACTGCTGCTACACTGGTCGTCTTCTCTTGCATTTGTTGTTGCGTGTGCGATAGAAGAGCTAGGTCATCTGCAAAGTCCAGATCGTCCAGCTACGTCCTAGCTGTCCACTGTATCCCTTGCTTCCCTCCAGATGTTGACGTCTTCATAATCCAGTCGATCACCAGGGGAAAGAGAAAGGGTGAGAGTAAACAACCTTGCCTGACACCGGTCTTTATCTCGAACGACTGTCAGCTGTCCTCCGTGCAAGATTTTGAAGTTCAATCCATCATATGAATTCCGTATGATGTTGACATCACTAAGATTATATAAGAGGTGAATATTTGAAGACAAAAGAATAATAGAATTAAAATGAAGCCTATGGATAGTGTTAAGTAAAAACATTACCATTTAAGATAAATAACCATCTTTAGCTAAATATCTTATCATCATGGTGGGCAAAGGCTTATCACACTTTTCTTCAATATACATAGATAAGGTTGGGAACGTTTGATAGCAATTGCTTCCATCAATTGAAGTAAGACTGACGTTTTTTGTTGATTAACTATTTTAAATGTACTAGTCGCATCCACGACATGTCCACTATTGAAAATGTGTTTGACAATAGAACTTGTAAAAACTCCTCTCCCTTGTAACCATAGATTCTACAAACTTTGTTGCTTTTGGTCTGTTTTTAATTAATACTTCTTAGAATAAATATGAATTCGGTACAGTCATTAATTATATAAAAGATGATAATATATTTTTTCTCAATCAAAGTTTTTTACACGGTGAAATCATCAATTATTCATTGTTACTGACTAGCGACTAGCTTCGTGAGGAAATTCTTGCAGTTCTAGTAAGAAAACATGACCAGTGGAGTTCAACCTTGTCACGTGTAGACAGTAAATACCGAAGACAAATGAGTGAGATCGCGCAAAATCTCTAGATTGATCAGAGTTAGACATTGACACCACTGGATGTCAGCCAGGTGGTCCATAGATTAGGCGTTCACGCTCAACACCGAAGGTCCTGGGTTCGAATCCTGCGAGGTGCATTAGTCGTGGATGCGTACTGCTGATGAGTCTTATACCGGGATTTGGCGGCCCTCCATTGCTTCCAAGTTTCTACTGATGGTCTAACAATGATTGATTGATGATTTGAACGCGATAAGCTATTGTCCAATAAGTAAACATTTCATCTCAACTCGTTGAACTAAATTCAATATTCCCCATTTTTCGCTTAAAAACAAATGTGATGAAATTTTATTTTCATTCAATCATTATTTTTTTTATTCTGTTATTTTATATTTCTGTGCATTTATTAATTGATTGATTGGCTGACTGATTGATGTTATATTATATTAAAGGAACAATATTTAAAAAGAAATCCATTGGGTTCAGTACCGGTGTTACCAAATGATCTGGCATTTGCATTTCATGCATTATTCATTTCTTCAGTAACAGCTTCACAAATATTATGCTATGAGGTAGGTTCATTGAATATATTTTTTCCCTTGTCTCATTTTGCCTATCATGTTTAATTGATGTCATTCAATATTTCATAATAATAATAATTATCATTTCTGTTGGTCGTTAAAAAAACAACTCATATGAATTTGGACAGCAGTTTTTGGCTTTAATTAAGAAGAGTTGTGGTAGTGGTGTTTGATTCTCTAAGCTGGATGTGTTTTGGTTGTGGAGCTGTCATCATTATTCTTCTGAACAAAACAACATCATCATCAGCACAAACTTCAGATAAAAGATATGAAGTATTCGAATTTCGCCACGTATGACTCGTAGCTTGTTCTGTTAACCTCGATCAGCTGATTGGTTGCTG